GAAGAGTGTACCTTTCATGTGGACAAGCTGAGGCTGCTCTTATGGGATCTGCCACTTAATTATCAGGATGACATTGACCAGAAAGATATTCCACAGCCCCTGTGCATCTCAGCTTCCTCATCTCCAAAACAGAGCAAGTAATGCCTGTGTCCTAGATTGCTGCAAGGGACAGAGAATGCTCTGAAGACATCTGGCTTGGAGTTGGGCACTCTGACAGCATCTCTGGGGAATTATTGAAACCTCCATATTAGACATTCCGGTCCTCAGGCCTTGGATATGTCTTGTCCATGAGGCAAAGGTGGTGTCTACTTCCACAGAGGGTCCCTGGGGCCTCTGGCTCTGGGGCCAAGGTCAAGGAGAGCTCTGTGGTCTGTCTGCATAATCCATTCCTGTGCCCTAATTCTATGGACCTTCGAAGCATCTGAAAACTTGTTTATATGGCTACCCACAGTATAGATAAAATCAAATACACAGAGTTTTTTAAAAAGGCATTTTGGCACAGCCTTACCTTTTGATATTTTATCTCACTGGTCATCATGTGCTTTAAGGAAAATGATATCTCTTAGGCACAAGGACCCACACTGTAAATAGGTTGACCTTCAGGCCTGGAACTGTGGAAGGACAGGTTAAGTCTCAGCTTTTAAGAGCACAAAGCAAGTGATATGTTATTCTTAGAAGCGATTTTTGTTTCCTGGAGTCTGTTGCCTTCCCCACCACCAAATAGCATGGACACCAGAAGATTCCAGCATGCCGTGTGGGTGTATCATGTGGGAATGTTTTGGTCCCCTGCCTGTTCTTCTCAGACAGTCTGGGACTGCCTTTTGTGGAGTTGCTGGGGAATGATGGTTTGATCAGACCCATGTTGGCCAAGGGTTCTACCAATTGGGCATCAGCCTTCTTTGGTCCCATGTCCCCTCAGCCATCTGGTGGCATTTTATAGCCGTGAGGCCTTTTGTAGAGACGAGCTTTATGGGAACTTTCTCTTCCCTTGATGAGAAGAGGAAATATTTTCTTCTTACAGACCCATCTTGAACCCTGTGGATGGTGCTTTGTTACAGTGGGAAAGAAGAAATAGAGAAATCTTCTGTCTTAAGTTGGGCTATAGCTCTGTCCTAGGGGAAGACATAGCTTCTGTTCCCAGCAGACCTTTGCAAAGTGACAGAACTAGTCTGGTCTAAGTGGTGAGGGAACAACTAGGCATATAGGTCTTCATGGTCCACAGAGTAGGCCTCACTCTTCTGCAGGAGGGCAAAGTTGAGGAAGTGGGAGGGTCTCTGTACCTCATGGTAGAACTCTTTGGGGTTTGCCAGCTGTAGCTCATACTTCATGTTAGGATCATGCTGGACACCCATAAAGTTGTAGTTCCATGAGGACTGGGCAGGGACCATAAAGAAGCCAAGGAAGCAGTCTGATAGCAACATCTGGACCCTTTCACAGTGTGAGGGTAGGTAACCCTTAGGGTTGTTGCCCTTGTCTGTGTTCTTTTAGCCCCATTCATAGCCACTAGGGGTCAGCTTGTAGGCTGTCAGTGTGCAGGAGCCTGTTATGAAGCTGCAGGTGATGATAATGGTCTTCTCACCATCCCAAGATGGGTTGTCAGGCAGATTTTGGCATGAGTGGTGACATCCTGGGGTGATAACTGGGCGGACTCATTGGGCTGAGTGTGGATCTAATCTAAGGGCTCCATCTCCTTGAGGTACTCATGTTGGGGCAGCCGGCCAGGCAGGTGCACAGTCTGATGAGTGCCCCACTGTGGTACCATTACAGTGCAGACCTCCTTCACCCAGGGGTTATAGGTGGGCTCACCCCATATAGGTATCCTGCAGTTTGGGCCCAAAGGTCAGACATGCAGATAAACTTCTTAAGCACATTCTTGGGAAGGATATAGATGTAACCAGTCTCCTTGATGTCATCAGATAAAACATAGATGTGATTGGTCCTCAAGTGCAGATTGGCAGCAGAGATGGCCCTGACCCTCCATTCAGTCTTTGATGAGAAAGTCTGGGTCTTGTGGTTGCTTGTGGTAGAGGTAATGATCTCGTCACCATGTTTGTTGACAGTGCGAGTCTGTGTTGCAGTCAGCCGTGACTGTTCTTTGGTCTGCTTCTCAATCTCAGCTGTCTGCTGCTGTTGCTCTGATGGTGCTGAGATCTCCATACCCAGGATGATGTCTTGAATTTCTAATTGTGTCAGTGATGCCACATTCACATTGTTTTTTTTGCCATAGTCGGCCAAGATGAGATCCTTGAGCTGCACCTCCACCTCGATCCACTCCTCATCAGTCAGAGTGGGCCAGATGTGATGTAGTTCTGTGATAGTAATCTTATCTGGCTTCAGGATCACCTTTGCATGGTCATTGTTTACATGCAGCCAATGAAGAATCAAGATGAGACAGGAGAAAGCTGTGTAAGATGAAATAGTCGTGAGCCAGTCATCATAGAGGTTGAAGAGAACCATCTGGGGTTCAGTGGTTTTAAGGATTAGATCCCCAAACTTTGCCACCTTTAGATAAGCCTGGAAGGGGAGCTGAAGCTCTGATCCTTTGATTACAATATTGAGGAAGTCCAGCAAATGTACCTTCAATGGATCCAGCATGTCCTTCCTGGTAACAATGATCTGTTTGGGCGGCTCCTCCACAGGCAGAGATTGGATCAGGGCAGCCACCTCCTCAGCTGTCTTCTGCTTAGCCAACTGTCCCGAACGCTTTTGTCCAGCCCACACGGATATGTGGATTATCTTGAGAAACAGCTGCCCTGTCCATGGGTTGAAGATGAAGATGGCCGCATAGATGGGCTCGGTTGTCAAGTTTCCTTCAAAGGTCTTGTGGATAGTCACTCTGTAGACATTAGTGTCATCCACAAACCAGATAATCTGGTTGGAGAAGAGCTCACCATAGTTCTGAGAGGAGAGATAAGGCTCAGTCGGCTCTTCTGAATAGAGAGCTGCAGCCCCTTGAGGATCCATTCACGTAACACATACTAGGCAGGTTTGCCTTCATGATCTTGGCCATGGCCTGCTGTTTAAGAGGCTTGCTGCCTGGGAACCAGTTTCCATAGGCACTGTGCAAGTTATAAGCCAGGTCAATGGCTATGAGTACACCTGTGGGTGAGGAGTAGATACTCATATTGTCTGTAGTGTAGTCCAGGAACTTGGCCCTGGAGTAATGCTCAATGTCATGGGAATCATAGTCTCCTCAGCACAACTGGATGTCAATCCAATACTTCTGAGTGGTAGTGCTGTCCATCACATCCTTGAAGTCAGCCAGCAACGAGGGGTGGGAGACATTGCATTTATGGGAAGCAAAGAGCAGTATATCTGCACAGGAAGAGTTCATCTTACAGGATTTAGGGGAGGCAGAAGCTGTACCTTCATTAAGGTGGGGTTGTTTGGGGTCAAGCCCTAAACATCCTGCTTGAGAACTGGGGGGGGAGGGGGGAGGAGGAGTCAAGGGGAACAAAGGAAGGAGCCAGGAGGGGCCAGAGGCAGAACAAGAGATGGGATCTTAGCAGGCCAGAGGAATGAAGGATCCAGGGACTAGAGGTGCTTCCCGGGTTTGCCACAGTGTCTCCCCCTTCCCTCTTGCACACCAGCTCCAGCCCTGGTCTTGTCTTTTCATCCTTCTTCCCCATAGCAGAAGCTCTGGCCCTGGCCATGTCATCGTGTTCCTGTGTCCCCTGCATGTTCCCCACCCTCCTCCCCCTTCTTTTGTGCGGACCCCATTACAATAAATTTTAAATGAAACCTGGAAAAAAAATAGTCTGGTCTGGTCGGGTTTTTGGCTAGCTGAAATACCAAGTGTGCTTGCTGTGACATTTCTCATTTTAGACAGAGAATCCTCAGCATTCGGGTGTAGTCGCCCCTACAGGACTGAACTTTTTCCCTCCAGCTCTGAGTAAAATTCTGAATTCCCTCAGTTTCTAATTATTAACTCTTTCCTTAGCTCTTTGAAAATCTGTGCTGACTTCCTGAATGGAAGTGTTCTATGTGTGTGTTCTATGCAGTGTGTGAAGCTTTGCACGTTGAATTGAGTAAGGAAGGGTGGGGTGAGGTGATGAAAGTTGTGGGATGGGTGGGTGCTGACAGGTGTTTTTAGTGGGCTCCTGCCTGGCGGGTGATGATTCACAGCTGTACACTTCTTCCTGTGAGTCCATATTTTCCCCCCTGCTATGTGGCCTTATTATTAAACACAGGAGACAGGGATTGGGTGACTCTCTGGCATGGCTGTTCTTCTAGGCACGGGTGTCTCATGTACTACCTGGGCATGACCAGGCCCTGCAGGTACCACCTTGCTGCTTTCTTGGCTGAAGATGGGAGAGCAGGGAAGGGACTGGTCCTCCCGGCTGTTCCTGCCTTGGTTCTCCAAGGAATCCCTGCCCTAGGCCCTTCCTGCTCTCACTATCATCTGCCTCCTGGGGAACACCCCAGGGGCTGCTCCCACCCTTTGCACTCATTTGCTGCATGTGTGTGTGTGTGTGCATGCACGCAGGGCTGGCTCTTTCTCTGTAATACAGGATACCTCGTAACTTTGATCCATCCTCAGCACCTCTTCCTCATTTTCCCATACTGTCATGTGGTTTTATTTTTCAAGAGTGGTTTTTTTCTCCTTTGTCCTTTCTGACACTTTGGAGAGGGACAGAGATTGCAGTATGTGCTCAGCCCTTCCAACCTTTGTTTCCTACTTTAAGGCAAGAACATGGTACAACTTTTTGTTTTAAATTTCTGATTTTATTTTCTTTCTTTTTCAGATTAATATGCAGGTACAAACAATTAGGCTACATTGTTTGCATTTGTTAGGTAAAGTCCAAGTTGTAGTTTTTTTTTTTTTTTGAGACAGAGCCTCAAGCTGTCACCCTGGGTAGAGTGCCGTGGCCTCACAGCTCACAGCAACCTCCAACTCCTGGGCTCAAGCGAGTCTCCTGCCTCCGCCTCCCAAGTAGCTGGGACCACAGGCGCCCGCCACAACGCCCGGCTATTTTTTGGTTGCAGCCATCATTGTTGTTTGGCGGGCCTGGGCTGGATTTGAACCATGTACTTAGGTGTATGTGGCTGGTGCCTTAGCCACCTGAGCCACAGGCGCCGAGCCACGTCCAAGTTGTAGTTGAGTCCTTCACCCAGGAGGTGTGCTGTGTATCCTTACACTGTGCTCATTAGATGAGAGCTTACGAAGTCCTCTCCCTCCTCCAGTCTCCTCTCTCTCCTCCCCTCCCCCACCACTTGAATTTAATTGTGCTTTTCTCTTGTGTAGGCATGTAGGAGTTTATCTACTGGTTTCATATTAGAATTGAGGAGATTTGATACTTGCTTTTCTCTTCTTATGCTACTTTACGAAGGAGAGTGTTCTTCAGCTCCATCCAGGTTAATACAAAAGATGTCAAGTCTTCCATCTTTTAATGGCTGCATAGTGTTCCATGGTATACATACATATACCACAGTTTATTAATCCATTCATGCGTTGATGGGCAAACACATGAAAAAATGCTCATCATCACTCATTATCAGAGAAATGCAAATCAAAACTACCTTGAAATAGCATCTAACCTCACCGAGAATAGTCTACATCATTAAGTCCCAAAGTTGCAAATGCTGGTGTGGTTGTAGAGGGAAGGGAACACTTTTACACTGTTAGTGGGATTGCAAAGTAATACAGCCTCTTTGGAAAGAAGTATGGAGAGTCCTCAATGAGCTAAAAGTAGACCTTCCATTTGATTCCACAATCCCATGTTATAAGATATTAAGAGTAGCTTTCTTCTGGTATCTACCCAGAAGAAAAAAAATCATTTTACCATAGGACCTTGCACTAGAATGCTCATCACAGCTCAATTTACAATTGCTAAGATGTGGAATCAAACAGTGTAACAACTATGTTAAGATCTGAGCTCACTAGTATTCTTATCTTTTGGTTGGTTTTTCTTTGTTGAAGACTCATTCCTATAACAAAAGGGTGGGTAACTGTCCACTCTTATCCAGCTGTGTGTACCACAGGTCTTTGGTTTATTTAGGGGTTGACAAGACCACCACTGTTCCCATGAGCTGTTTCCCATTTCAGGTCCCAAATGCTTTATACAGAATGGGCTGATACACTAGATGAAGTTAGAATTAGTTGATGAATAATTTTCACTCACCCATTAGCATTTTTGTTGTTGTTGCAGTTTTTGGTTGGTGCTGGGTTTGAACCCACCACCTCCACTATATGGGGCCAACACCCTACTCCTTTGAGCCACAGATGCCGCCTGCCCATTAGCATTTATTTAATTCATTTTGTATATTTCTCCTTTGATAAGTACGCACTGGGGTGAAGAAGCAGGACAAGATCAGTCCCTGTCCTGGTTATGTTTGCCATGTTGCCTTGCTTGTGATTATATTAAAAGGGCTGTATGAATGTGATTGGCTCATCACCATAGGTATTGTAGTGCACCCTGAGCCAGGGGCTGTGGGGTAGAGGTGATGGATCGAGCACAACTATGTAGGGAAATTTGCCATCTCACAGCAAGATGAGTTGGATACTAAAATACCCAAAAGAAAAAGTGTAGTAACAGAAGTTCTGACAAAATGCTATATGAATACAGAAAGGAGAAGAGAGATTAATTCTTCTTAGAGTGCTCAAAACACCTATCAGGGAAAAGGTAATAATCACGCTATGCCTTGAAGTATGGGGCACCTACTGGTGTAATTGCCAGAACCCCGTGAGAATCTAAGTGTTACACAGGCAAGCCTGTGACTGTTGTGTTCATTCTTATGTCTCCTGTGCCTATGTATGGATGGATGGAAGGAAGTGTGGGTAAATGCATACATGGAGGAACAAATTAAATGAAGGCGAAATTTTAGGTAGGGGGATAGCCTGAATGTTAAGAGTGGCAGGAAAAGCTTAGGGGTATTGGTGAAATTATGACTGGTTTGGCTTACATGAAGAGTGCTTGAGAGAGAATAGTCAGAAAAAATTGAATGAAAGAATTCAGATGACGAAGGCTTATGAATTTTGGCTTTTCTTCCTGAATAGTGGACACTAAACAGTAGAAACTATCTTGGGTAGGTGTTGGTAGTACACAGACATGAATCTAAGTTTTCTTTAGAAACTGAGTCTCACTCTGTTGCCCAGACTAGAGTGCAGAGGTGTGATCATTGCTCACTGTACCCTTGACCCCTGGGGCTCCAGTGGTCCTCCTATCCCAGCCTCCCAAGTGGCTAGGACTACAGTTGCTCACCACCATGCCTGGCTCACTTTTATTTTATTTAATTTATAGAGACAGGGTCTCTCTGTGTTGCCCAGACTTGTCTGAAGCTCCTGGCCTCCAGGGATCCTCTAACCTCAGCCTCCCAAAGTGCTGGAATTACGGGCATGAGCCACTGCACCTGGCCTTCATAATTCTAATAGTAGAATTTAAATTGAAAAAAAAAAAAGAGTCCAGATAAGGCTTTTTTTGCTTTTCCATGTGGTAAATAAGTTGCTGAAGACTCCTGCTGCAGGCCATAGTTTAGTTAACTAGCAGCCCCAAGGCTATAACTAGTTCCGGGTGCTCATTTCTTGGTCTTATCTCCAGATGTGTGCAACAGCACCGACCTTCCGGAAGTCGAGATCATTAGCCTGCTGGAGGAGCAGCTGCCCCATTATAAGTTAAGAGCCGATACCATCTACGGTTATGACCACGACGACTGGCTCCATACACCTCTCATTTCTCCAGATGCCAACATCGACCTCACAACCGAGCAAATTGAAGAGACACTGAAATACTTCCGTAAGTAGTTGCCCTTTCATGTTGTGAGATTGGTATGATGACTAGCCCCTCTCAGCCATGGCCTCTAATGAGATCGCATACTGGTTGGGATGTAATTTGACCTGCCCTCTCTGGAAAGGTCATCAGAGAAATGTGACTACCAAGTTAGCCATACAATAGGTCTTGATTTTAAATGTTCTGAATAGGAATTTTAGAGTAGGAGTACCAAATATGATTTTCATTTGAACCAACTTCTTTTTAACAGTACAGAAGAATTTTAAAATGCTCTCATTTCCCCTTCATGTGAAAAGTACCATGTTAGTCCTCCATAAATGCATTAATGTACACAGTTATGATTTAATAAAAAAAAGAAATGTTTATTAGGAAGGAGTGTGTCTGTATTTAAAACCAAAGGTATTGAGAACTGGGCACCTCCTTTATGTGACACTGCAGGACATGTACCAAGCTGACAACTCTTTTGTGAAAGGTCACTGTGCTGGTTATTTGAGAAAGCCAAAATATCACTGTAGCACAGAGCTGCTGATGCCAGTGGGCTGCAGAGCTGATACCTGGCAGGGTGAACAGTACACTAGGTGGGCTTTTTTCAGTGTGGGCCTGATGAGAAGTTGGTGAAACTTGATATTACAGACTTGGAGGAAAAAAATGATAATTAAAAAGATGAGTACTTGATGTTTCTGAAATTTATTCAAGAGGTGATGATTTATTTGTTTATTTAAGGCAAGTATGAAACAAAGTTTATTGAGGCAGAGAAAGGTAGGCTTGCTTACAGAGTAAGAAAGCTTACAAAGCAGGATACACTCGCCATAAACAGCAAACAGGCCTCTATTGCCAGGGCACGTAAGCAAAGAAGCCCAAAAGGTACATTTTTAAAAGCATCTTCATTCTTTAAAACTTCACGGCAGCCAACCTTTACATATCCATGTATCATTATGTCACCTTTAAAAACAAAAGTACTGTAATCCTACTTCTACATGAAAATAACTTAGTTCAAAACCAGCTTATAATTTATTTATAAAAGTTTTCTATAATTATCTTCACCTAATACAGACTGTTCTCTCCAATTTTCTATAATTTGTGAAATCATTTATAATAAACAAGTTGGAACTACAAGTATCTCCTTTAGAGTGCATCTGGGGCTGTTTTCAGAACCTCTGTAGTAGATATTAATAAGAAAAGACAGCCTGAGCAAGATCAAGACCCCATCTCTTCCAAAAATAGAAAAATTAGCTGGGTGTGGTATTGCACACCTGTAGTCCCAGCTACTTGAGAGGCTGAGGCAGGAGGATTGCTTGAGCCCAGGAGTTTGAGGTTGTAGTGAGCTGTGATGACATCACTGCGCTCTAAAGAATTTTGTTTAAATTGGCTTATGTTTTATGCCTGATGCAAACCTTACCAATTTCTTTGTAAAAACTGCAGATGATCAGTTTCAACAGGAAACTGACCCACCAGAGTAGACATGGAGCATGTTAGACTTGCACTGACATTAAAGTTGGAGCTTTAGAACATCTAGTGTGTCTTGTAGCATATAAGAAGCGCTTTGCAAGTCCCTTTTACTTACTCATGGCATCTGTACCACTGAGGAATGCGGTATGATGTGGAAAACTGAGTCTAGAGTAACTTTTCTGGGCAGGTTTTGTATTGTTTTCCTTCAGACTGTAGAGAACGTGTGCAATAGAATTCACCACAGAACAGCAGAATTTATAACAGAATTATTTTTTGGAAAATCTCTCTGTGATACTTCCCCTTCCTTAGAAGACCTTCCTGTGATTCTGTGGACCTCTCAGAAACATTT